TTACTGTGATTCTACCATTGTGATTGCGTGTGCTTATGGCTGTATCTATGCAATACTCCTCCGTTTTTCAGGGGTTTGACAGTATCTGAAACAGAAAGGCTATTTAAAAAGGAGCTTATAAGCTGTTAGAAAGATGATGCTTATCCTTTTTTTGAATTTGACACTCTGTATACTTCCAACTGAAAAAAATTAGTATTAGTAGAAAGAAAAAACCCCACCATTATCTTCCAAAATGAAGACCTGACTATCTAATGTACCGCTTTTACTCTCAAACACAGCGGCAGGGCTGCTGCTTTCAGCTTGCGCTGCGAGCTCTTTGCAGTGCTATAAAGTTACTTGTTTTAAACCAGGACCTGACGTGAATTGACTGTACGGACAGCTGGATTATGATGGGCAGATAAAAGGAGAGGCCCCTTGAGCTCTTCAGTGTTGTCAAATATAATTGCTTTTCTATTATAGTTGATTCTCTGGGAGCAAGTAACTACCCGAAGATTCTGGCATGGTTTTTGTTGTTGTTTTTAAATGTGTGAGCAAAGTCTGGTTTTGAACTCCATCTCCTAATGGAAACACAGACCGTGTGCATCCTACAGGTTTCAAAGTAAAATGCAAGCAGACAGGAATCCAAAACATGCGCCCCCCCTCGCCTTTTTTTTTAAATGGCCCATTTATTTCAAAGCCAATCTTATTATAATTAATTTCAGGGAAGAGAGAACAGGCTACTTCTTTTTGAATGTTTGATACTGGCAATACTAGCTCTCATACACCTGATGATAGTAAAGTGAGTTGCAAGTTCTGCTACCCCCCCCCCCAAAAAAAAAAAAAAAAAAAAAGGGGGGGGGAGAGGGAGAGTGTGGCACATTTGTTGAATGCCGTGTGTCTGTCTGCTGGGTCGCTTTCTGAGCTGAGGGCAGGTGAAGCTGCTATCGCTGCCATAGCTAGAGGCACTGAATGGCTTTTTCTACTGAGGTGAGCGCAGCCCAAGCCTGGACGGCTTCTGATGGTACTAAGATGCAGCCAAACAGCGTGTGCACTACTCAGCCTGCTTACCCTGAGACTCCCTCTGACAGTCTTGCTCTTAGTTGCAACTACAAGCCCCGTCTCTGGTCAATGATCACACACATAGCTCAGTCACATTACATCAATTCCAAGCTGTTTTTCAGGGGTGAGAAGAGCAGGACGGAGAGAGGATTATGAGTTTCTCGAAATGACCATTGGTGTTGCTGGGAAATTTGCTTTTCATTCATTTTAAACGATGAGCTAAGTATTCTATCATTCAAGATTCTCATTAACCAGAGGTGATTCAGCAAAGGCAGAAAACAATACACGTAGATAATACCTGCACGGAGCGGGATTATGCACCTCAGTGAGTGTCCCTGGATGGCTAGCAGCTTTTGCATGCCTTCCTCTGGGCTCTGGAAATACCTTCCTGAACTACAAGGAGCTGCCTTCAGCAAGTGCTTCAATAGGTATCAGCCTCCGTGACGCTGATTTTGCAGCTGGGAGGCTGCAGAGAGCCCAGTGAGTCCCAGGGTGTCACTGCAAACCAGCAGCAATTCTTTCCCTCTCAATGTCGCTTCACAGCCCTCGCTGACGCCGCCGTTCAGCCGGATGAATGAGAGGCCTCCTTTGGGTGTCCAGTGTCAACAGATGGAGAAACTCCCCAAACCTCAAACTCAAACCGGCATTTTTTTGCGAGTCCTAGAATAATGCCAATTTCTAATGTTATCTACAACTTTAGATTTAAGATTACGTGTCGGTTTTGTGTTGATTTGCATAGAAAACCAGACTGCCATTTTAAATGTAACATTACTATTACTTTAAAATGATATGTGCCTCTACTTTTTATCTGGGAAGCAAGATTTATGAAACATTGGTCAATGTTGAAAGCGGGACTCTGGAAAAAAAAGACTATTAGAACTATATATTCAGGTGGAAGTGAAAATATTCACCGAGTGCGGACAAGGAATATGACTTCCATCGAATTTATAAAAGCAGCAGGTTAGTAGATGATCCGTCAGGGAAAATGCTAGTGCAGGGTTACAGTTTAAAGGTGACAATTATGCTGATTTGTTACAGGATGGATCAGGTAACAAGGGTCTATGACCAGCTGCAAAATAGAGGATCTGCCCTCCCATGGTCAAATGTTATGGGAGACAAAACCAACAATTTTTGGTCCAAAAGTGATCAAAGCCATAGGCAAGCATTACACTGATCACCCTTGTCTTTATGCAAAGCTGCAGTGTTTGAGGGAAAACAGTTACTGCTGTTTTTTCTGCTGTCCAGTTTTGCTGATTCCGGGTGGGAGAGCCCCCGTGAGTCACAGGTAAGGTGGTAAAGGTCAAAGAGGGAGTAGGAGGCAGGGCTGCCTCTACCTTAATTCTTGTAGGGACTCCCACATTTACTCCCTTCCATCAAACTCAGAGCGTAACTAATTTTTAGACCATTAAGCCATATTTTTAGAGATGAAATAAGATTAAAGTGAAAGATCTTACTTTCATTAGGGTTCCGCATCTATTCTCACTGCGTCTGGAAAGCTGTCTTTTAAAATTAGTGGTTTATAAAGCTGGAAAAAAATGACAAGGGTGGAACTATTTCAGCTGTCAAATTCTTTAATGGCTATGTGCTTTAGACCCTTTATTGGGTCAGCAGTTTTTTGCTTTGGGGAGATTACAGTACTGTTGTGGTTTAACCTGGCAGGCAGCTAAACACCACACAGCCGTTTGCT